GAAGCCTCTGATTGCGGCCATCAAACGCGCCGGTTGCATTAAGGTTCATCATTTTTGTGTGTTTTTGGATTATCCCAAGTTTAGAAGGAAAAAAAATGGATTAGAGTACTGGTTTTGGTTGAGGAAAAATGTAATAATCAAGTGTTTGCTTCTGATTTTCACTTGTGTACACATAATTGTTGATCCAAAGTGTTTTTGCTTGTGATTTCAATCCAATTTGGCTACTTTCTGTCCTGTAAAATGTCTAAATTGGAATAATGCAGAGGTTTTTCCCATCGGAATTCGGAATGGATCCCGACAAAACCCGGGTTTCGCATTTGGATAACAACTTTTACTCGAAAAAAGCCGAGATCAGGCGACTCGTTGAAGCCCAAGGAATTCCCTACACTTACGTTTGCTGCAATTTCTACACGAGCTACTTTCTTCCTTCTCTCGTGCAGCCGGGCCTTCAAAGCCCTCCGAGGGATAAAGTCACTATATTTGGAGATGGGAATGTTAAAGGTCCCGTAAGTAATATTACGCGGTTTCAAATTTTCAAAGATTCAGCATAATCTTTCTACACATTCACACGCTAAATGATTTTTTGCAGGTGTATTTGTGAAGGAAAGTGATGTTGCTGCCTTTACGATTAGCGCTGTGGACGATTTACGCACGTTGAATAAGGTTATGTACTTGAGGCCACCTGGTAACACTCTTTCCATGAACGAGCTGGTTACCAGTTGGGAGGAAAAAATTGGGGGCCGTTTGGAGAGGACTTACATCTCGGAGGAAATGCTTCTAAAGAAAATTCATGGTATGTTTGATTTGAGTAAAGCAAGAGTTCTTAGTTTAGCAACTAAATTTAAAATCTGTTGATAATAATGGAACATGCTTTGTTGCCTTTCAGTTTTTTTTTTAATATACGAACGATTAATTCAAGTGTGCTTCTTGTATACATGGATATATGTTAGCTCAGTTGGTCTTGTGTTAGGTAAAACGAGGCCATCAAAAGAGGTCTTTTGTATGTTTTAGTTGGAAGAATTAGTGTAGTTAGTTTTAGTTAGTACTTTACCCGAGTTATTTACGGTGGAGTGTGTCTGAGGTGAATTAAGCAAGTAGCAAATGAATTTTCATATTTAACCCATTTTGTTTACCGTGTGTCACGGTGAATCAAGCTATGTTTGGTAACCAAATAAGTTTCATTTGGTAGGACGGACTTTTTTAAAAATCTTGAGCTTATCTCATAAATTTTGTTTGTGTAGTTTTTCAAATAAGTTCGTTGAAATTTTTATTTCAGCTAGCTTATTCGCTAATTTTAACACACTTTTATCGTTTAAGCTAGTTAGTTTTAGTTAGTACTTTTACCCGAGTTATTTGCCATGTAGTGTGTCTGAGGTGAATTAAGCAGGAAATGAA